GATGTAAGTAACACTGGTAAATTCTGTGTTGAAGACTTAACCACTGCTTCCCTGGATTGTTGTAGCCTTTGGAACTAGGAGCAGTCACACCAGCTTTTCTGAGGTGGCCTCAGTTGAGCACTAGAGTTTGTTGCAGAAGTGTCTTTCTGCAGTTTTCCAAGCACTTTACGCAAAGAAGAGTTACCAATTCTGTCACTGAGACCTTTTTCACCTCATATCACCAAGTAGCCTGAATCATAGGACCAACAACACTGAGTGCTTGGGGGGAAGAGCTGTTTGGTTCCTATTCACTGAATACCATTTCTTTCAGGGTCTTTGCCCTAAGGTACCATGCTTACTGACCCTAGTTTGAGGGTTCAAGCCACCCCGTGGGTTAATTTCAACAGATGAAAATTTTTCCTTGGCTACAGCAACATCCCTAATCCTGACCAGCCATGGAGAGGTTCGGTTCTTACAAGGAAAATGAGTGAATGTGGGAATGGCTCACCACATTGGGAAATCAAAACACATCCTGCTGATGGTTGGCTGAGGACTGTCATGTCCACATACAAAGAAAAGCATGTGGCACAGTTTTAGGACAAAGGTGAGCAGAGATCCATTGTGGAAAGGGGCACATTTTTCTTAGGCATGCCCCTCGGTAAGCAGTGTTGGTGGGTGACCGACTGCAGGCACACGCATGGAGGCTTGCTTTCCCCTGCTCCTCGTATCCATGCCCCATCTGACAGCTGGTATCCAGAACCCCTTCATCACACCCTGCCCACTTAACTGTTGACCAGCGTATCTCCAGAGCAGGTCATCCTCATTTCTCAGAACTTTTTTCCAGTCTCCTTGTTCAGAGAAGATCCCAAAAGGGGTGAGATATACTCCATGCTCTCTTCAGTAGAACATACAGAGTGGTATTTGGGGTCATTGGTATAGGATACTAGGGCCACGGAAAGTCTGTTTATGGCAGCACAAGTTCAGAGATGGTAATTCTTCTTGAGTGAAAAAGTGTGATTAACATTCCTAAAATTGCAGTCCTAGAGTACCTTAGTTTTATAAACTTGGCATCCTAGCTTCAGAGTTGATTGTTGACCTGTGCAGGGCATCATCAGCTGTTATAAGAGGACCAGAGCATTGGCAAGGGTGTGGGGATGGACTGCAGTATAGAATGGCCCACATAATTCAGTGTGGCTTTGCTCGTGGTGTCCAGGTACCTGTCTATTTGATGAGTCGTGGTGCCCAGTTTCTTTAGGGAGAAAAAAACAGTAACTACCCTTCCATCATTTTTGACTTAATTTCTTAGGCTAAAGTGTGATCTAGAGGAAGAGACACATCAAAGAAAGTTTTTCTGTTCATTGAGAACTCTCACATACCTAGTAAACTGCTCTTTGTTCTTTCATAAAGGCAGAGGGCAGAAGACTCTTAAGATAGAACATCTGGAGTCACACAAGGGGAAGATCTTTGATTCATCGCTTCTTAAGTATCCGGGGACATTTTGATCTGTTTTAGAGTCATTCTCCTGAACTCCCTTTCTCTTCGTTTTCATACTAAAATTAATGAAAGGTGTTTTGTTTTGTTTTTAATAGAGAAAAGGAATGTGTCTTAGGTAGTGTTTATGAGACTAGTTCACAGAGATACATGAATGTGTCAAAGTAGGAGTGTGTATAGGTAGGATGTGTGTGTGTGTGTCTATCCCCCTCTTTCTTTGACAGGGTCAGAAAGGAGCATACTTTTGGGAAAGAAGAGATTAGTTTCATGGTATTTGCTACAAGGGACAAAGGGATGTTAGATGGATTAACAAAGATTCCCTGATGTTAGGTATCAGGGAAAGCTTTACTTTTAAGATTTATTTCAGAGACAGTTGAAATATTTAAATAAAACTAAAGTTGATACCCATCAGTAGTTCTGAAGGTACTTTAAATGATAAAAATTATACTGTCACTGTTGTATACCTCTGACATAGTGTGATTTTAATTATCTCATCTTTAAGCCAGAGGATCTTTATCATACTTTTGATGTTAAGAGAAACGTTAGAACTGTATAATATAGTGCCCTCATTTCATGAATAAATGTAGACCAGGAGAAATAGAATAATTTAAATGTTTAATAGCAAAACTAGGACTAGGACCGATGCCACTTTATGCTGTTCCAGTCTTAGTAGTTAGGAGTTTGAGCTGTGGCACTGTAATACAGGTTTTGGATCCAAGCTCTGCTGTCTTATTATGCAAGTTATTTACCATTGTGTGCCTCAGTTTCCTCTTCTGTAAAACAGGAATGATAGTGCCTGGTTCTTGGGTATTGTTCATATTAAATATGCTAACATTGTCTAGTATGTGGAAATTACTTAAGTGTTAAGTAACATTTTGTTATTACCTAGTCTTCCTGTCCTGGAGAACTCATTCACTCTACTTACTGAATGAAATAATGTCATTCTTTCAGTAAAGCTTATCTAAGTAAATAGTAATGTGAACTGATCTGGTCTTTGCTTTGCTCTCAGAACAGGAAACCCCTATCAGGTTTGGTTGTTACACGAAAGAATTTTGGTTTAATCTTCAAACCCTCTCCCCAGCATGTAAGTGACAGCAGTGGTAGGCAGGTGCCTGGTTCAACCCATGAGCAGGACTGTGACATTAAAATTTTCCAAATAGATTTTGTGGCTTTTCACAGAGTTACCAAAATCTTTCTGTGAAATAAATTTGATGTTTTAAAAAGGGATGTCCAAGAAGTTACTGTTAAATGACCTGCTTGATGGGACTTTTTAGAAGTAAATATTAAGAACTGTAGGAATCATTTTCTTCTAAAAACATACTGGTTCTTAAAACTCAAGGTTGGGTTTAATTGGCAAGGTGTGCTGTGCTTCAGCCTCAGCTACAAAAAAAAAGCTCCATTTTCTCAGCATTTTGGTTTTAAACAATTGTGCCTCCACTTAGCAGATTTGTCATTACTTTCCCTGTCAAAGGGCAGAATGAGTTCTGTTTGTAAGCTTTGGAACAGTGTGAACGTGCTCAGGAAGGCCTTTGAGTGCGGAATAATTGTTAGCCATAGGTCTGGCACAAGCACGACTTGTCATGAACAAGTCTGGCTTTCTGTTTCAGATGACTTGCAGAATTTTGGGTACTCTGATCTCGGACACCCTGCATAGTTGTAGATACTTTTTATTTTGAAGAAAACTGTTAGGCTATTCTGTGATTTATTTGTTTAATCTTTAAGAGTCAGAGTTGTCCTTCTGGTATCACATTAGATGAGTTAGGGTCCTGAATGGTGCCAGGCCAGTGTGGAAACTCAGGAAAGTGGAGGCTATTTCCTCAGGAGTGTTTCACCTGCCCACTTTGGCTCTCACGTGCCAAAGGCAGCAGTGCATATACCAGACCAGTCATCCGTCTAGACAGCTGAATTAAGGCACTTTTTTGGCATTTTATGATCTGTTTAGAAGTTAACTCAAAATAGAAAGTTAACTTTTTTTTTTTTTTCATTTTATATGTCTCTAAATGGGACAGTATAACTCTCCTGCTGACCAGCTCCACTTAGGAAAGCAAAAGGCACTATTGTGTACCTGTTTCAGACTTTTTAGTGACAGTAAAGCACTTTTTATCATACTAAATGGATGATCTTATGATCTTGACTTTTTAACAGAACTTCAAGCCTATGGAGATATGAAACTATGTTAAAACTTGATATAGCCTATAAATTGAGTCAAGTGGTTTCTGAATTGTGTTACTGCAAAACATTTCACATTGAACAATGGGGTGTGTCTGTTACTTTTTTTTAATGAGGTTGAGATTCGGTGATTAATCTTAAAGTTTAAGTGCTACTCTGGACATTTCAGCACAAAGAGCTCCCCAGAGTTGTTAGCTGCACACTGTCATCTTGAAAAACTCTTGTTTGAGAGGAACCTTTTAATGAGGGAAGACTTCCACAAGCCTGAGTTCTCTCGGGTAGCTGTTGCTGAGTACAGCATTAGATCCCAGAAAAACTGGAATGATAATTTTTGCCAGGCCAAATGAACTTCTGGCAAGTCTTCTACCTGTTTTTAGTGATAGTATGTTTTAAACACAGAGGAGCACTGTTCCTTGGTGTTGGTGTTTGCCTGTGTATGCGGCATTGTGCTCATCACTTTCTTCTGTCAAGTATGACCATTAAGATGGTTTTAGTTTTTTATAGACAGTGATACACTTTCACAGCCATGTTATACCAAACTACATATTTATTGATAACAATTTGTAAGGTGTTTAACCTTGCTTAAAATTATCTTAAAACATTTCGCACCTTAGTTTTTAAAGTTATATTCTTTTAACAGGCATTAATAGGATTTGGGGGTGGGCGTTATTTATGTAAAAGAAAATTGCAGTTATTAGATGTTAGAGACATCAAGTCTACCTATACCTCTACAGAGGTGAAAGTAGAATATCACAGGATGGTGAATGGCTCCAGGTTTGTTTGTTTTTTCACGGATTGTTTCTAGAACAGTTTATTCAGTTGTGACTACAAAGTTAGAGGAACAAGAATATTACCAAAATTTTCTTTCATGGAGCAGATTTAAGGAATGTTATTCCAAACCTGATTTAATAGTTGAGGTATAAGGCCTGAATATTGATCTAATTTGCCAAAGACACCATTTTGGGGCTAAAGCTAAGAAGCCTAAGTTGTTACATGATTTGAAAGGACAAATATTCAACCTTATAAAAGTCTATATTTTGATACCTTATACCAAGCATCCCTATAGAGGTCTTTGCAGTTGCCACCAACTATATACATGGGGAACAAAAGAAGTGGATTCTGTATACTTAGCCAGCCTCTTACTAGAAAAGCAGGAGTCTATCTTGAGAAGTCTCCCTGTCCTCTTACAGAGCCTGTTGGCACAAAGCAAAGCAGTTTTCAACTAAGGGAAGAGAAGGCTGATCCCTTAATTTGCAAACCCACCGAACCTTTGCTAAGCATGAACCTCCTTGCTTTCTCTTTAATGCTGATAAGCTAGGTGGCAAAATGATGCCAATCAGGTTTTGTTTGCTTTTTTCTAGGTATGGTTTTGTGGAGTTTGATGATCTGCGTGATGCAGACGATGCTGTTTATGAACTGAATGGCAAAGACCTTTGTGGTGAGCGAGTAATTGTTGAGCATGCCCGCGGCCCACGGCGAGATGGCAGTTACGGTTCTGGACGCAGTAAGCATTTCAAGGACATTTGTATCAGTGATATGCCTTTGTTATTCAATGTTAATTTTTAAGTGATTAATTAATGTTACATTGAAATGTATTGATATTTAAGCCATTTGTTTTATAAATCATGTGTATTTTTCATGTAAAATTGCAAATAAACATTTTTGATAATGTTTAATTTTAAATTAATGACAAATTTCTTGTTTTAATATTTTATCAATATGTTTAATGATGTGTGTTTGTGTTGTTTTTTTTTTTCTCTGTAATGCAATTGTTTAACATAGATTTAACAAAGACCTCAATGTTTTAATTAAAAGAATCCTTTGAGGCTAAGATGACTGCCTGTTCCATTTGCTGACCTTGGGTTACCTTTCCATGCGTGGCTCTTTGAACCATTGTGGCCCTTGGCTGACCAAAAACAGGAAGCCATGTGACGACCGCAACCTTTCCCCATTAGACCTGGGTGGTGAGGATCCCAAGGGTTAGACACAGATGAGATTAAACTGAAATAGGTGCCTGAAAATCTTTTTTCATATAAAATATTCACAAATTTTTAATCACTGTGAGTAATACCAGTAACTGATTTAGTAATCTGGTTACTTATTGCTAAATTGTTTATAGTTTTTAATTTATGCATGTTAATTTAAATATAAATATTAATGGACATGTTTACAACTTCATAAAATTAAATTTTCATGTTGATTGCTTTTTTTTTTTTAATCTAGTTAGAATTGAGGGTGGGAATAGAGTTTAAATATATTTGATATTGTTTGGGGTGGGGTAACTTATATATTTAAGGGGAATATGTGCTATATTTTTGCCTTTCCTCCACTGAAGTAATCCTATTTAAACCTTCCAAAGGTGGATATGGTTATAGAAGAAGTGGCCGAGATAAATATGGCCCACCCACCCGCACAGAATACAGACTTATTGTGGAGAATTTGTCAAGTCGGTGTAGCTGGCAAGACCTAAAGGTTGGTGCCCTATTAACCTCTGGGATAAGATTGGGCAGGAGTTATGGTTGGGAAAGAGAGACCTCTATGCAAGTCCAGGTACACAAAGAATGTAATGTAATGTAATCATATATTTGAAAACTTTCCCAAAACATTTGGAAATTCTCCAATTAAAAGTATCCATGGGAGTACAAAAGACATCAGGATCTCGTTACCATATGGATGGGAACATTACTCTGTGGACAGCCCGTATAAAATTTTCCTGTGTAGAGAGTATGGCAGAGAGGTACCAGTCTAATTCATTACTCATAAAATAAAGTTAGTAACCACCAGTTTTTCCTGAAATGTTAGTTGGAACAAACACGAGTTTGTATCAGCTTCCAGTATAGATCTTCATTAGTGGAAGTCACTATCTGACGCGTGTTCTTCCTTAAGAACTTGGGGTATTTGTCCTGAGTTTGTTATCAAAAGTGTAGCCCCAGTGCTGTGCCCGCCATTCTATATGGATCCCAGCATGTTTTTGAGATGGTGTTGGTTTCTGACCTCAGTAGGGAAGAGAGCCGTCTGGAGTAGTATCTTATCCTGGATGACTTAAGATGACGAATGTAAAGGGTTCACAGTAATCCATCTTCATTGCTGGATTATGAATAATAGCTAAAGACTTACCTGAACTTAAAAAGTTCCAGCAGTTGGGAAATTGTCAGAAAATGTATTAGGCACACTAATTATGAAAATTGTGTATTTGAAGACATGTAAACATTTACAATGCTGTGAGCAATGAAATGGTATCAGATGGCAAGTGTTTTAAGATTTGTGACTTTGTAAAATATGGAGAAACTATAACAAAAATGAACTCCTATTGAATTTTCATTTGTTCCATAAATATTGGGTATATATTATATATAAAGAAATTGGGGGAATTGTACTTCATCCAAATTCAGTTTTCAAACACTTATCTCATCACGTTAGCTTTGTTTATTTGTTTGTTATGTATACAGAACTAGGGTATAGGCAGGGGCAGTGAGAGGATTCACCAGAGAAAGAGTGGGGAGCAGAACAGGCAGATTGACGAAGGACACTGCTGAGGGGAACAGTGGGCAGGTCAGGAGAGGTCTGCTGCACCATGTGGGTCAGCTCCCTGGCAGGGGATCAAGTTAGTGCTGAAGCAGCTGTGGCTGGCTTCACAGTGCTGCACTTTAACCCATTGCGCTACCAGGGAGGGTCCCATGTGAGTTGTTTTTTTTTTTTGTTTGTTTGTTTGTTTTTTGAAAGATTTGTCTATACATACAAGATCTGCGGTGTAGTCAGAGGCACAGGGGTCGTGGTGAGAGAGGATTCACCAGAGATAGTGGGGAGCAGATTAACTGAAATACCCCTCAGAGGGACACAGCATGTAGTCAGAAGAGGTCTGCTACACCATCTGGGTCAGCTCCCAGGCCAGAGATTGAACTTGTGCTGTAATAGCTCCGGATAACTTTTTTTTTTTTTTTTTTTGTACAGAACTGGGGTACAGGCCAGAGATGCGGAGGGTGAGAGGATTTACCAGAGACAGGGCGGGAAGCAGAACAGGCAGATCGAGGAAGTACACTGCTGAGGGGAGCAGCGGGCAGGTCAGGAGAGGTCTGCCTCACCATGTGGTCGCCTCCGGGGCAGGCGGAATCGAACCCATGCGGTAGTGGCTTTAGTTTCTTAGTGCAGTACTTTAACCCGCTGCGCCACCAGGGAGGGCCCACCAGGGAGGGCCCGGCTCCAGATAACTTTATAGTGCTGAGACTTAACTCCTTGCACCACTAGGGAGGACTTCCATCATGTCAGTATTTCGCATTTAGTTGTATTCTTTTTGGTTCATACTAAGTTTTTGAAGAGAATGAGGAAAAAGACTTGTAGTGACCACTTGTAGTGATTACACCACTTGTAAATTGGGGCTGGACAATTAACAACTTGGAATAATTGGTGCACTACCGTCATAGTCTTTACAGGTTTGTTTCCACTTGTACCTTAGATGTTGGTTAATAACTGTATTTGTCTTCAAACAAGGATTTATAATAGAATGTAAAATACCTAACTTAGTACTGATATGAACTCCCCTGAAGCTTCTATAGACAAAGAAATTGCCACAATAAAATTTAGAAAATGATAGTTAGCTAAGATTGTTTATATCTTCATACATAACTTTATTTTAAAATTTGACATTTACTGTCCCTATCTCCCACCTAATGCAGGCCTGTTGTTCTAAAGAATCTTAGTAAGTGGTTGGTGTGTAAAAGGAAATATTTAAGGGTAACCTTCATTCTGAGAAAAGCTTAGTATTTCCTCCTGAAGAATGGAAGTACTTCCATTGTGATGATTACATTAGCTGTTTCAGCAAAAAAAAAATATGTCTTGACCCATTCAGGATTTTTTTTTTTTTGTCTTTTAGGATTATATGCGTCAGGCAGGAGAAGTGACCTATGCAGATGCTCATAAGGGGCGCAAAAATGAAGGGGTGATTGAATTTGTGTCTTATTCTGACATGAAAAGAGCTTTGGAAAAGCTGGATGGAACTGAAGTCAATGGCAGAAAAATCAGATTAGTTGAAGACAAACCCGGTTCTCGACGCCGCCGGTCCTACTCCAGGAGCCGGAGTCATTCAAGGTACTGTCGATGTCTTTGTGTGAGCATTGTGTGCATTGGTGAGCTCATAGATAGCCCATTTTCATTCTCCTACTGAAGCTTCAGCAGCATGGCTCCCTTTGTTACCAGTAATCTAGACCTTCAAGCTGACATTTGTAAAACTCTTGAACTCTTATGCCATGAGTATAAATAGAAGTCTTTTATCTGAGGTAGGTTTTAGGGGCCTTCTTTCATCTCTTCTTGGTTCCCCCAGATTTGATATCCTTAGCTGAAGGGCAAACATGGTCAATGTTCACTGGTCCCTCGGTTATTCTTCTAGAAACTCCAGCTACTCAGCAGTGTGGAGACTGTCTTGTTCAACAGCTGTTCTGTAAAGAGGCCAGGCACTTGTGAACAACACAAGTATGGTTTGTGCCCTCATGAAACTCAGCCTAGTGGAGAAGATAAGGACTAAGCCAGTAAAGTAATTACCATTGTGATGAGTATGTCCCAGGAATGTACACAGCACAACTAGTCTGGAGAACTGACAGGCTGCCCTAAAGCCATGTTAAGTGAAGCTGAGCCCCGAATGGTGCATTGATACAAGGGTGGGCAGACAGAAGGGTGCCTCTCTAGCCAAGAAAGCAGTGATTTTTGAAGGGCTAAGTGAAGAGGGAAGCAGGAGAGTGTCCTGGTGTAAAACAGTGAAGGATCTGATCCTGCTGACCCCCAGGCATATTAAATTTTAAGAGCAGTGAGAAGTCATGAAAGATTTTTAAGCTTTTCAGCCTTTGTTGTTAACTTGTTATTTTAAAAAAAATTTTTTTAATATAATAGTTTATTTTTACATCATTTTGTGCCTTTTTCCATCTCAGTTGTGATCCTGTGGGTTTCCCATCACCAAGTCACTCGTGTGCCATCACCTTAGTCCAGTGCACTTCCCTCCCCTCACTGTTTTTGATCCTATTTCCCCACTCCAACCCCATAAAATGTCTCTGGTATAAGCTGTTCATTGTTGTTATTTTCTCGCCTGGTCCGTTATACTCCTGCTATGAGTGAAACCATCTGGTATTTACCTTTTCTTTCTGGCTTATTTCACTAAGCATGATCTTCTCCAGCTCCATCCATGTTGCTGCAAAAGGCATGGTTTTTTTTTGTTTGTTTGGTTGGTTGGTTGGTTTTTTTTGGTTGCTGAATAATATTCCATTGTGTATATATACCAGATCTTTTTAGTCATCCACTTTTGGGCATTTGGGCTATTTCCAATTGTAAATAAAGCAGCAATTAACAGGGTAGGGGGTGTAGATATCTTTTTGAATCAGTGTTTTTGTGTCTTTTGGGTAGATACCTAGGAGTGGGATTGCTGGGTCCTAGGGAAGCTCCATGTTTAGCAGTTTGAGGAACCTCCAAACAGTTTTCCATAGTGGTTATACTAGTTTGCATTCCCACAAAAAAATTTTTAATACAGAAAACAGAAAATATGGTGTGGTCCACCCTGGGTCCCTTATGTCTGTCACCTACCGGTCTTAGTAATTTGGATTTTGCCAGTCTTGTTTATTACCTACTCCTCCTGTATTGTTTGTTTGTCTTGTTTTTGGTTTCTCTGGGTGCATTATTTGGGAGGTGATACTGGAAAGTACAATTGGGGGGTGGGAGGAAAGGACTGCACTGGTAAGAGTTACTGCTGGGGGCAGCACCCTCCTGCCACACTGTCAAAATAGCCTGTCACTGCACCTGCAACACTTAAGGTGTATCTGACTTTTAAAATAAAATCACCTGCAACACTTAAGTGTGTATCTAAAATAAAATCACCAGGCCATTGTCATAGCTAGCACGTTTGTGGCCAGGTTTCCCTCGGTTATCTCAAATATGTTTTGTTTTTTTTTTCAAAGATTTAAAAATTGTAATTGGGTGACATGTTTTTAATTTTACTTTTAATCACTTGGCAGTGATATTCCTATTTCTTTTATTTATTTATTTATCTACCTATCTATTTATTTATTTATTTATGGAGTACAGACCAGAGGTGCGGGGACAGTGAAAGGGTTCACCAGAGACAGAGTGGGAAGCAGAACAGGCAGATTGACAAAGTACAGTGCTGAGGGGAGCTACAGGTAAGACAGGGAGGGTCTGCTGCACCATGGGGGTCATCTCCCTGGCCAGGGATCAAACTCACGCTGATGTGGCTGTGGCCAGCTTTATAGTGCTGTATTTTAACCCATTGTGCCACAGGGGAGGGCCCGCTCCACACTTTTTACTACAACCATTTTCAAGCATCAAAGTTAAAAGGATAACTTATGAAGCACTGTATACCCTCTTCTAACTTCACTTTCATCACCTTCCCTTCACCTCCTCCCATTTGTAAGTGTATGCTATACATTAATTTTACTGTAGCTTTCAAAGATAAATTGTATAATTTATGACTTTTCAAGCCCTCCCTGGTGGCACAATGGGTTAGAGCACAGCAAGTTAGCTGCACCCACTTCAGTGTGAGTTCAATTCCCAGCCCTGGAGGTGACCCACATGGCGTGGCAGACCTCTCCTGTCTCGCCCACTGCTCCCCTCCGCAGTGTATTTCAGTAGATCTGCCTGCTCTGCTCCCCACTCTGTCTCTGGTGAATCCTCTCGCTGCCCCTGCACTTCTGGCCTATACCCCAGTTCTATATGCATAAATGAATAAATCTTTAAAAAAGAATGTATTTCATGCCTTAGATACTTCAGCATGTGTCTCCAAGAATGGAGATAAGCATAACCACACATCTGTTTTCTAGCCTCAACATTAGCAGTGACTCCATGGAGCCATTTGATGGTCAGAGCATATTCAGATTTCCCTAGTCTGTCCTGGGATGTCTTCGTAGCCACGAGCCTCATTTCTCCCTGACCTGGCTCCAGTCTGAGCATGCACTACAAAGGTCTCCTCAGTCTAGAGCAGTCCTCCTGGCTTCTCTTCCCCTCCCCCAGTGACATTTATTTCTCCTATTTTTTAATAGTACCTCACATGCTGATCTTATCTGTTTCCTCTTAGTATTATTCAGCTTATACTTTATCCCCTGAACTACTTGTAGATTCAAAGTTAGGTCTAGAAAGGTGTGACTGAGATACAGGTTAAACTATATTTTCAAGCGTCTTTTCGTAAGTAATGGTACCAGAAGTGTGAAAGTTTTCCTTTGTCAGGATGAGGTTTCTTGTGTGTTTCTTGTCCTACTCCTGGGATCAGTCAGTGTCTTCAGGGAACCCTAGTTGCTTTTGGTGACAATGACAAGGGGAATCTACATTTTTTGCTTGTTAAAGGTTTCTTTAAAGCTTGGTGTGTGTGTTTAGAATGGCCCTTTGGTCATAGTGAGTGAAGAGATAGGCCAGGGCCAAGTGTGTGTGTGCAGGCAAGATAGGTGACTGCTGTGTGCTGGGGGCAGTGATGGAGCTTGCGCAGGCAGTGGTAGACGGGGAAGACTGGAGAAACTGAAGAGACAGAATCAGAACTATAAAGGACGATAAGAGGGAGAAGTATCAAGGAGGCTATGGCTTCTGATGTGAGGAAATGGGTAAATAATAGTGGCATCAGTGAGATTAAGACAGGACTGAAAAAAAAAGAATAGGAGAAAAGGGCAGGGCTGGTGGGGGTGGGGAGAACAGATTGTGGGTTTAAGGTTGGAGATGCTGAGTTTGAAGTAAGACATCCAGGGAAATGTAGTTAACTGGAGCGATGGGCCTTGATTACACAACGTTCTCTTTCAGCTTTGTGCCTGGGCAAAGCTAGCTCTGTACATATTTTTTGACTGAAATGGTAACCATTTAGCTAGCTCTTTGTCAGCAAGTATTACAGAAGTATTTTCTCTTCCTAGATCTCGCTCCAGAAGCAGACATTCTCGTAAGAGCAGAAGCCGGAGTGGCAGCAGCAAGAGCAGCCATTCAAAGAGTCGATCCCGATCCAGGTAGGTTTCACGAGGTGTGGGAGGTCAGCAGGCATGCCTGGACCCTTGCCCACTTTGGTAGTTTTGGACTGGAATTCGGGGGCCCAGAAAGCAATCCCTGGCCAGTGCAAGCCACAAGTCAGATGGTGAGGCACAGCTCCACACGTAGCCCTGCAGGCTTGTCACCTCATGACGGCCATGTCCCTGTATCTCCTCAGGTCAGGCTCCCATTCCCGGAGCAAGAGCCGCAGCCGCAGCCAGAGCCGCAGCCGCAGCAAGAAGGAGAAAAGCAGGAGCCCGAGCAAGGATAAGAGCCGCAGCCGCAGCCCAGACAAGCGTCGCAGCAAGAGCAAAGACCAGGCTGAAGAGAAGGTCCAGAACAGTGACAACACTGGGAAATCCAAGAGCCGGAGTCCTAGTCGGCATAAAAGCAAGAGCAAAAGTAGAAGCAGGAGTCAAGAGAGGAGAGTGGAGGCAGAGAAGCGGGGGAGTGGGAGCAGGAGCAGGAGCAAAGAGAAGAGCCGCAGTCAAGAGAAGGGCCTGCACAAGAGCCGGAGCCGGAGCAAAGGAGGCAGCCGGAGCCGGAGTCGCAGCAAAAGTAGGGACAAGAGGAAGGGGAGGAAACGAAGCAGGGAGGAGAGTCGCAGCCGCAGCCGCAGTCGCAGTCGCAGTCGTAGCCGTAGCCGCAGCCGCAGCCGCAGCCGCAGCCGCAGCAAGAGCGAGAGGAGCAGAAAAAGAAGCAGCAAGCGGGACAGCAAGTCAGGCAGCGGCAGCAGCAGCAGCAAAAAGAAGAAGAAGGAAGACACCGACCGGTCCCAGTCCAGATCGCGGTCTCGTTCAGGCTCCAAGGAGCGGGAACACGCCAAGTCCGAGTCCGGCCAGAGGGAAGGCCGCGGGGAGAGTGCGGATGCTGGCACCCATCAGGAGGCCCGGTCCAGGTCGAGGTCCAATTCCAAATCCAAAGCAAACCTTCCATCAGAGTCACGCTCCAGGTCAAAGTCCGCTTCCAAAACCCGATCTCGGTCCAAGTCCAGATCCAGGTCCGCATCCAGATCGCCCTCCCGGTCTAGGTCCAGGTCCAACTCTAGGTCCTAACTGGCTACGAGCACGGCTGGAACTACCCGAGAAGTCTTTTGTACATGTTTGGTCGCCGTAGCACAAGTGATTGAAGTAGAACATGTCACTGCTGTACATTTTTAACTCCCCTAATGGTGTGTCCACAATTGTTAAATCTAAGTGCTTCCTCTTCGTAAAGCCTCCTGGCGCCAGGCCTTCCTGCTCGACTGAAAACAGTCTTCTCTTTGAAAACCCCTTTACTCATGGCCCACAGTAGAATATCCAAAACGCCTTGGCTTTCAGGCCTGGCCTTTCCTACAGGGAGCGCAGTTCCTGGACGGCACTAAGGCTGGAATGATGACATAGGTAGGTATGGTGAGTTCAACCATTTTTGCCCTTGAATTGACGCCCTTTGATGTATGCCATTTAGTGAAAGTGCTAAGTCTTAAGTTTCCTACCACTTTGGTTTCATATTTTTGGACTTAACAGAGTTGTGAATAGCACAGTCAAGGAAAATTGATACCTGCAGTAACCCATAGGAAATAAACTTTAGAGTTCCATATTCTGGTATTGTGATTATATTGTTTTATATTAAAAAGAAAAGAAAAGAATTTTTTTTAATTTTATTTTTCCCCGTCTTGCAAAGTATAGTGACCCCTGTTTCCATTAAATTTGAATAAAGACTATTTTTGCTTGACAAAATTTCATGGTGCTTGAATGGAAGTTGCATTTCCTGACAGAGCTCAGCAGTCTCTCTCGGCTGTTTGATTTCTTGGGCTCACCCCTGGATAGAAAGCCAACGTTTCCTAAAGAGCTTTTTCACAACCACCAGAATTAAGGCGGGTTTTGCAGAAATTGGCAAAGTGATGAGAAACGAATCAGTTCGGGGAGTCATTATCAACAGATGGGTGCTTCACTCTCGGCACTGTTTGAACTTCTTGCCATGAGTCTGCCTGCAGTAATGACCTTAGAGTGGGACCAGTCAGAAACCAGGAAGGCAGACCGCCGGGCTAGTACGTGGCCACTGTCCAGTGGCTCCTTCGGGGCCCACAGCCTGCACTCCTGCCACAGGAGCGTTGAGAGGTCTCAAAGCGGGGGGAGTCTGGGTGTCTTGACTGTGAGCTGCAGCAAGCTTGGGAGGAGAGAAAACCCCTCTCTGACCGCCGCTTCCGGACATTGGGGTGGCCGAGTACCCTAGACTGCCCCGTCACCTTCCATAGAATGTTCCCTGCAGGGCACGCTGCAGAGACAGAATCAGTTTTTTGCCCTCCTACAGTTGTGTCCGGGTTGCAAATGGGAAGTGACACCAGGTAACGCCATTCAGAGAGGGGAGTTGTAACTCAAGTTCAGACAGTTGGGGCACCGGGGTTAGACATTCACAGAGGTGGGGCCATGTGCTTGTGGAGCGGGTTTGATCATGGACAGTAAGAGAAGCCAGTTAGGGACCCTCCCTGGTGGCGCAGCAGGTTATGGCGCAGCACTACAAGGCTGTCTGTGGCCACTGCAGCAGGAGGTAGATCCCCAGGCAGGGAGCTGACCCACAGGGCGCAGCAGACCTCTCCTGGCTCACCCGCTGCTCCCCTCAGCAGTGGACTGCAGGAAATCTGCCAGTCAGACTGCCCACTCTGGTGAATCCTCTCCCACACTTACAGACCCCCTGCACCTCTGGCCCGTACCCCAGTTCTGTATACATAAGTCTTTTAAAAGAGAGCGAGAAGGCGATTTAGCAAGATGGATTGGGCCTTAAGAGAGTTGTAAATGCCAAGAGGGAGCACTGGAAATCCTTGTGCGCGAGGGTGTGAGCTGTGGGGCTCTGCTGCTGTAAATGGATCTGCCCATCGTGAGCTGCCAGGGCAGCCACCTCAGCCGCTCGGTGAGTGCACTGATCGTAGTGGTTTGGGCCCGGAGCAAAGGCCCTAACAGGAAAGGTCATAGGTGACCTGGGGGACGGAGGTGTCCACGGTCGTCCAGGTTGGGAAGTGTTTCTGAGGAGGGGAAGGGATGACGGCGGTTGAGGTTAATTTTGGGGACCCGACATTGCAGGATCACACGGGACCCCTAAAACAAGGAGCCTCAGTCTCCTGGAGCTTTCTTGCCTGGGCCCATTCTCATGTCATCACAATAAGGTGACTCCAGCCAGTACATTTCCTGCTGCCTCTGACCTAGTGCCAGACTCCCGTGGTGAAAAACTAAGCGCTTCCTAAGGATGAGTTCTGAACTTTGGGCATTTTTCTTCTTTCTCAAGTTTTAAAACAAAGTTCTCATTTTCATAGTTAAGGCACATTAATTCTAACCAAATGAACTTAGTGTGGGATCTTTTAAGTATAGGGACTTTGGAAGTTCCATCTCTGTCCCAAATGGGCCCACAATTAATTTTTGCGCCAGCACTTTGTAAATCATTTATATTTACTTAGATTCTCATTGAAGAGGGAGAGGTTAAGGAGTAAGGGGGATTTCAAGTTGCAGGTGTGCGTCAGAGATGAGGCCTTTCACGTGCAGCATCACCCTGGGCTGGTACAGTCGGGCTCAGCTGCAGCCAACATGCACACTGGGGCCGAGTGCCTTCAGCCAGCAGTGGGGAGCGTGAACACGGGACATAAGGCCTTGCCATGGGCCACTCTGACTCAGCCTAGAGTCATAGAACTTGGCCCTGATCAGCCCTGATCAGCGCCGAGCACTTACTGTGGGCCTGACACTGGGCCAGTGTTCAGGTCTTTGGCAAATGACTCAGGCGTTCTCCTGACAACCGGCAGAGGATTTCTAAGTGTGGTGCTTGTTCTTGGCAGCAGTGTTTCCCCTAAACAGATGCTTCAGCATAAGTCGGGGAGATGGCAGTAACTTTTGAGGCTAAGGTTAGGTTGTGTCCATCCCTCCCACCCCACCCACTGTAGTGCAGTGGAAAAAGACCTGGGGAAACTGGAGAAGGAAGACCTTGGCATCTGCTGGCAGCTAGGTACTTCACGTTGCTAAGACTCGCATAGTCTCCTTTTTTGAAGTGACAAAAGCTCAGACTGGTAGCGTGATTTGTCCAGTGCAGCACAACTAGTGACAAATCTAGGGTTCCTATCGACCTCTGTGGGTCTCTTCCTGCAAAGCGTCCTCTGCCATAAGAAAACAGTACTTCAAGTTAAAGCAGATTTGAATGAGGTCCGAGGAAAGTCGGGTTTCCACAAGACTTAGTCTGCTTTCCATAACAAGTGTCTGAGTTGCTGCATAGTAAGTTTCCATCATCCCATCATTTGGTGAAGACTCAGAGCCTGCCTTCAAGTGCCACTCTGACCAAGCCCAGGTCATCATTCCCATGTCCCACACCAAGGAATGAAGAAAATGAAGATGTTTCATCTGAGTGGGAAGCAGTGGAAGAGGTACCATAGAAATGCACCCAACTCATGGCGCAAGAGAGGCAGTCTGCTGCTTCAAAATGAAGCCAAACATTCTTTTTCCCAGCCATCACTGAATGCCAGAAACCACTACGAGAAGTGTTTGGCCACAGAAGCTGCTGACATTGGGTGAGGAAAGAAAGGGTTACGTGGGCCAGATCTGTGGGGGTGACAGACGAGTTCTCTCATCTTTTATTTCTGCAACTCAAATGTTGGTATACTACGCTGAAGAAATGGCACACTAAGAAAAGGGCTGCGAAGTATGCTGAACTGGCCACAAGAATGAAGGCAGCGATGGAAAACACCCGAAACAGCGTGTCTTTGAGAGCTTGCGCTTCTGACTCCAGTCAAATATGAATGAGATTCTCTAAGTGACCAGACATCCAAAAAAGGAAATTTCCCTCAAATATCAATGATTTAAATGGTCAGACACTATCAGTGAATTAAGATCAAACTATAATGTGTTTGTGTGAAACTCATTTTAAATTTAAATGTGAAGATGGGAATAGAGAAAGCTCATCGAAAGAAAATTGGAATGGTTCTACTAATGTCAGATAAAGTGTACTTCAGAGCAAGGAAAATTATCTGGGACTAAGGGGCATTACATAATGTAATTAAACTGGAAATTAACAACGGAATAGTTAGCTGCAAGGTTCCAAAATAGAGTAAGCAGCACACATCTAAGTAACGGGTCAAAGAAGTGTTGAGAAATATTTGAACTACATGCAAACACCACTGTTTGTGGGATCCAGCAAAAGCATTAGCTCTTAGAAAAGAAATATCTAAAGTTGATAAGCCGCTACTTTCAGCAAACAAGCAAAATAAGAAGGAAAGAAAAAACAAATCAATGAACTAGAAAGTGAGATGGTAGGGGAAAATAATCAGTAAAACCAAAATTCTTTAGAAAAACTGGTAAGCTTCTAGCTACTTTAAATATTTTTAAAAAGACAAATTACTGGGGCCCTCCCTGGTGGCACAGCAGGTTAAAGCACAACACTAAGAAGCTTAAGCCACTTCCACATGAGTTCTATCCCCGCCTGCCCCGGAGGAGACCCACATGGCGCAGCAGACCTCTCCTGACCCGCCCGCTGCTCCCCTCAGCAGTGTACTTCATCAGTCTGCCTGTTCTGCTCCCCACTCTGTCTCTGGTAAATCCTCTCACCCCCCGCATCTCTGGCCTATACCTCAGTTCTGTATGAATAAATAAATCTTTTTTAAAAATTACTAATAACAAATGAGCCATTACTACTGATCCTATGGACATCAGAAGGATGCTAGTCACCAAACAGGAAATCAAGAAGCCGGACACGTGGCAAAATACATTCATTAATAAGTAATGAATAAAACCACAATGAGATGTCATCCCACACCTTTGAGATCCCCAACACCAGGTGTTGGAGAGAAAGGAAGACATGGTTGTTGGAAATGTCAACTGGTGTCATTATATGGAAAGCAATCTGAGTTTACCTTAAAAAGTGAAAATAGAATCAACCCAGCAATCCCACTCTTGGGCATAGAACTATAGAATATGAAACCATCTTCAAAAAAAAAAAGTATTCCTCAGTGTTCACAACAGCATATACGATAGCCAGGATGTGGAGACAGCCCATCACAAATCACTGGCTCAAGAAGGTGTGTATGTTAAGGTGTATCATGGATCATTAGATAGTCATGAAATGTAGCCATTTCCAACAAAATGAAGAGAGAATTCTGTGCAGAGAAGTCAGAATGATCAAAATACTGGATATGTATGCAGCTTGCATATGTGGTTATGCATACTTTACAGGACCATTGGACACTGGTGAACATCCTGAGGGCTCTAAGGTTAAGAGGGAGGGACGAGGACAGAAGGAATGGTCTGGGGGGTGGATGTCTTTTTTAAAGATTTTATTTATGCATACAGAACTGGGGTACAGGCCAGAGGAACAAGAGCTGTGAAAGGATTCATCAGACAGTGGGGAGCAAAACAGGCCGACAGGAAGTACACTGCTGAAGGGAGAAGTGGGCGGGTTAGGAGAGGTCGGCCGTGCCATGTGGATCACCTCTGGGATAGGGATCGATCTCATGCTTAAGTGGCTTTAGCTTCTTAGTGCTGTGCTCTAACCTGCTGCGCCACCAGGGAGGGTCCGGATGTCTATTTCTAATGATAATAAAGGACTATTAGCCACCCCATAAATTTGATAAGAACAACCTACCAAAAATTTGATAAGCCTGTACCTATTAATCAATAGATGACTTACTAATTGATGTATTACCAAATGGTTCACTGGCAAAATGTAGTAAGTATTTAAGGAAAAAGTTATACCAATTCATAATCTCTT